GCAAAACTGATTACGTAATTTCATGTAAAAAATATCATGGCAAAAAAATTTACATGATCATATGAAATGTCGAATAAAGTATACTTATTCCTATTACCTATAATACTAACTCTAAATTTCTAAGTTCATGTGTATACGTATGTACGTATGTTATTTTTTCCTTTTTTGATTTGGTGTAACTCGCACAAATAAGTATTTCCCGTCAGCCTCATACGCGCTTAAATGCTAGTTTATTGTAAATCCGGATATATTTCTAAATCCGGACTGGTGAATAAGTACCATGAAGCATGTTTTAATTTTTTTTAAATCAAAAATTTACTGAAATTAATATACGTAACCATTTTTGACGAGGATTTCATTGTCATATTTTAATAAAGGATTCAAGTTTTATTGCTTTGAAATTTCACTAATTCATTGTAACTCATTAAAAGAAAATGCATTTTAAAATTTTTAAAAAAATAATTCGACCTTTATTAATATTTTTGATCTTTTCTCTTATACTAGTTTTATTATTATTCCAAATTTATTTTACAAAATTATCACGTGCTCATAATCCACCGTGTAAATCTTACCATCAGCTTCAAAACATCACTTATTCTCAATTATCCTCTTATCCGCCTGTAAAAATATTTATTGGAATATTCACCACCATAGAAACTTTTGAGAGGAGGCAATTACTACGTGCATTGTATAGATATGAAATAAATACACGGTTATTCAACAAATATATTGAAAACAAAGAAAAAGATTTGATTGATTATAAATTTATATTAGGAAAATCGAATAAACAAATTTCAGAAGAAATTCAATTAAAATTTATGATTGAAAGAGATGCTTTTCAAGATATTATTGTACTAGATGATTATGAAAATTTGAATGATGGAAAAATTTATTATTATTTTAAGTGGGTAACAGAAAATTTAATTAAAAAAGTAGATAAGGATAATAATATAAAAGAATATGATTATATAGTAAAAACTGATGATGATTCGTTTATAAATCTCAAAAATCTGGCACTAAACTTACGACCTTTCTCTCAATACTCAGAAAACCTTTATTATGGATATATGAGACCCACAAATACTGGAAGTAATTTGAAACAGTACGCAACTGGAATGATTGAAGTTTTATCAATAAGGTATGC